CCTTTATAAGAGTTGCTGTGGTCATGATGTCTCTTCACAGAAACAGAACAATGACTAAGACAGTCTCTGTCTGTTTCTCTCTCGGAATGTGTGCATGCAAGTATGTGTGTGTGCTTCACTTCTTTGCCGATGCGTTGATTTGTTTCAAGTTAATAAGTACTTGTTAGGCAATTTTAAAAATTGTTTTAAAAGTTGTTACTGGATTTCAACTTTTGAGTCATCTCAGTACTTGTCTTAGTTTGCTCAAGCTACTATAACAAAATGCCATAGCTTGAGTAACTTAATAAACTTTTATTCCTTACAGTTCTAGAGGCTGAGAAATATAAGCTCAAGTTGTTGGCCAATTGAGCGCCTATTGAAGGACACTTCCTAAGGTGCAGATAACACAACAGAAAGGAGTGCTGATCTCTGCTCTTATGAGAGCTCTACCCCACACTCATAGCCTAAGCTTAATTATCTCCCAAAGTTGTGGCTCCAAATAAGATCATACTGGTGGTTAGAACTTAAACATGTGCCTTTGGGGGGGGGACTATCAACATTCAATTCATAATACCATCAGTTACTGTCTCACAATTCTAAGTTGTGATTTTTCCAGGATATCTGAGGTATTAAATTATAAAACATTCTACTTAACCTTTATTAGTAGGTAGTCAGCCACCTGCTAGTTTTTGTGTGTATGCTGGTTCTAGCATACTTTCATGGGCTATAACTCAAATTACAGTTCAGTTTTCAGTGCTCTCAAAAGAGAGAAGTGAAAATCCATCTCAGTGTTGCCAGGCAGAGGCATTCAAGCTCCCGCTCTGGTTTTGGCTCACACCGCCCCTGCACCACAATCAATCTCTACTCCCAGGGAGAGGTGTAGGGGTGTGTGGGTGCGTGAATGTGTGTGTGTGTGTGTGTGTGTGTACCAGCTCCATGACTGGCCTCTGCTGGCACACCAAGAAAAGATGCAGAGAGTAGCTACCAGGCAGAGGGCAGAAACTCAGCTACATGGTTACTGTCACCACACAGGTGAAGCACATTCATATTATCTAACTGCCATTGTGATTGGGTGCAAGTTCAGGCTCCCCAGCTAATTTCTGCTGACCCTGGTCCAGGAG